GTGCAGCAGGGTCCCTCTTGCTTACAGCTGCTGGTAGAGATCCACTGATAAGAAGGGATGAAGGAGCTTTGGCTCTCCCACCACCTGTGTCTCAGCCAGAGACACAGGGCCCAGAAAACCAGCCAAATGGCTCTGTAGGGCAGAACTTTAGAAATGCACCAACCTCCAAATGCCAGCCCAGACAATTAGGGAGGCACAGGCAGTGGAGTTTTTAACTGTATAGCCAGACTGATACAACCAGTTTTCCGTGCATATTGCTCAGATGCTCTTCCATACGGCAGGTGAGGGGATTGGGGGATCGGGAGGCTCTGTCTTCCCCCATTTAGGCCACTTTCCTCTTTCATGATTTCTTTCCTTCCTTACCGTCTGGGGCGCTGCTCTTGGTGTTTCCCCTGTCATTTTGCCTGTACTTTTTCATTTTCTTTCTTTTTTTTTTTTTTCTGGTACCGGGAATCAAACTCACGACCTTGTGCTTGCCAGGCAAGCGCTCTGCCACTGAGCTAAATCCCCAGCCCTGTACTTTTTCATTTTCTTTCTTTTTTTTTTTTTTCTGGTACCGGGAATCAAACTCACGACCTTGTGCTTGCCAGGCAAGCGCTCTGCCACTGAGCTAAATCCCCAGCCCTGTACTTTTTCATTTTCAACACTACTTTATTATTTCTTTTTTTTCCCTGTCTTTTTGAGACAGGGTCCTGCTATACAGTTCAGGCTGGCCTTGAGCTCACTTTGTAGCCCAGGCTGGACTCAAACTTGCAATGATCCTCCTGCCTCAGCCTCCCGACTGCTGAGATTAGAGGCATCTGCCACCATGCCCAGCTATATTATTTCTATCTACTCCTTAGATATTAATCTTTTCTAAAGCTTGGCCTCTTAAATTATTCTCTTCAACTAAAAATTTCATCCAATTCCAAGATTTCAGCTGACCCTTGAGGTGAACTTCCATTTCTAGGAGGCATGGTAGGCATTTTTCTTCCTTACCCTTCTTCTAATCATGCAAACCCACTCCACTGATGGAGCTCTGCCCAGTTTAATCCAGGATAATAGGAAGAAGTTGTGAAGCAGTAGGGGGAAAAGAGAACAACTTTCTTTAAGGCACATAACACCACAGGAAGTGTACTTGAAAGTCGTTAGAAGATCACCCAGCTCAGACTATTCATTCCCCACTCCAACATCATAAGTCACCAAGGACCAAGGAAAAGATCTGGGACAGAGTGGACAAAGATGAAGTAAAAGATGGGGCTGGGAATTTAGCTCAGCAGCACAGTGCCTGCCTTGGCAAGTGCAACGTCGTGAGTTCAATTCCCGGTACCGGAAAAAAACAACAAACAAACAAAACAAACAAACAAACAAAAAAGACAACAAACAAACAAAAAAGATGAAGTAAAAGAGCAAAAGAGAGGACTTTATTGCCATTGAATGTGAATTAGAACAGGCTAGTGGGGAGACTGAAAAGGAAGCAAAGATGGAGAACTATGTAGGCTCTCTCTTGGTTCCATACGTTCCTGACTGGTGGTAAGACTTCTCCAGTAACAGATTGTGTCATTTTCATGAATAATGCTATCTGCACTTTTGGCTCAGATCTTTCTACCAAGCTTCTAATTCTCTCCTGAGGACCCAAGGCCATAGGTACCACAAAAGTGACATCTCAATTTGCTCCTCTTTCGTTCCTATCTCTGTGGATGGAATTGCCGTCCCTCCACCTGTCATGGGTTAAATTTTATCCCTTCAAAATTCCTATGTTGAAATCCCAAGCTGGGAACCTCACAGGGCGATCTTGTTTGGAAATGGGTTCACTGCAGATTCAGTTAGTTAAATGGAGACAAAGTCCTTAGGCTGACCCCTCATCCAACCACTGCCATCCTCACAAAGAGGGAAAAACTGAACATGGAGGCGTACAGGGCACCATCCTGTGGTGATAAAGGCAGAGACTGTGATTCTTTTATATGACAAGAAACAGACTGCGAGCACACCACCGGTGAGAGGCACAAAAGAGAAGCCCCCTCTCAGCCCCTAGAAGAAGCCAGTCCTGTCATACCTTGATGTTGAACTCCTAGACTTCAGGACTGCGAGGGAAAGGCTCTTGCTGAAGCCACCCACTTCCTGTAGCTCCAGTCCGCTACCCAGGAGAGATTTACCCTCCACTGTCTCCTCATCCACTGCCCATAGGTATAAGGCTGGTGTATGGGGTAACCAGCACTCTGTAAGTGTCATGTTAGGAGAAGATAAAGGTTTAATTGACAAGGGAAACAAGAATAGGTCACAGCTGGTGGGAGACACCGAAGGCGTCTGTTGTTCATTCAAAGAGGCTGTAGGGAAGGTAGGGGTGGCAGGAGGTGTGAAAGCACACCTCGCTGGGGGTAGGATAAACTCACTGCTCAGCTGGAAAATGCTGAGAACACAGAGGCTGCATCAAATGTCAGGGAGGCGGGGCTGGCTGAAGACCAGGGCTCCCCTGGGCTCCTTCCCCCTGACAAACCCTAGGGCTGGGCTTCTGCCGAGGGTGTGTGTGCGGGGGAGCAGAGATCGTTGAATTCCTCCAGTGCGCAGCCGCAGCATGTACACCCCAAGCGCAGCTCTGCCCGGCTGCTGAAGGTGTCCCTCTGACAGCTCCGAGACAACCCGGTCGGTCTGGTTGCATGCACCACCATGCTGCAGGGGGCCTTGTGTGGGTCGAGCGGGAACCAGGCAGTCCTGAGTCCCTGCTCCAGCTCTGCCAGAAAATGGGGGACTGCACCCCGGCTCCTGGAATTGGATTCAAAACTTGAGGAACAAGAAAGGAAGGACTTGGACTGAGACACCTCCTTGGACTCCCACCAGGACCCCGGAAGCTGGGCGCGTCTTTCTCTGCACGCCTCCACTCTCCCCTCTCCCCACGCCCTCTGCTCCCCAAGCACCTACTTCGTCCCACGTCGCTCACTCTCTTCCCAGATCCTTCTAATTCTCCTTCTCCTCTCCTTCCTCCTTTCTCCCTCCTCGGCTCCTCCTCTCTTGCCCCCTCCTCAAATCTTCCTCCTAATTCTGACCCTTCCTTCGATTTCCTCCCCTCCTCTCTTCCCCTCAACTTCTCGCCATCCCTGCCTTTCCCTCGTTTGCGTTTGTCCCTCTTCCTTATCTTTCCAGTCTCTCCTGTCTTTCTGCTCCGCTGTCCGCGCTCCTTTGGCCCCACCAGCTGCCCTCTCCTCCTGTTCCCCCTCCCTGTCTTTCCTCCTCCTCCTCCCCGTGCCTCTCCCCTGAGTGTTTGCCTTTCTCCCGGACCCGGATGAAGAGGTTGGCCTGCCCGTGCCCTGCCCTGCCCCACTTCTGGCAGCTGGGGTCTCGCTTCATGGCTGAGGGCACCACCGGAACGCAGGCCCCAGGGCAAGGGCCTCACGCCAGCATCCAGCACCTGCGAGCCCAGTATGAAGGCCTGAGGAGGCAGCAGAGGACCCAGGCCCACCTCATGGTGCTCCCAAAAGGTAGGGCTGAACAGGTGCTGGGGGTGAGGGCCTCTCTGGGGGTACAATGGGCGGCTGAGCCTCGGGGAGGTGGGGCCGCGGCTCTCCAGTCTCCCAGTGGAGAAGAGCGGAGTTGCTGCTGGCAGGGTTAGAACCAGAGCTAGAGCAGGGGAGGCTAGATCAGGGCAGCTCCGCTCAGTCTGTCCCACAGCCGGGCATGTGGCCAGCAGCGCTGTTCCTGGTCTCTGCTCCCAGGTTCCTGGTTCTGATCCTGCTAAACTGGTCAGCCTGGTGGGCTGGGCTTGGCTCCTCTCCTAGGCCAGGTGAGGTAGTGGGGGCTTTCCTGTACACCAGAGAAACTGACTCTGGAGAAAGAAAGCTGGTGACCCTAACATCCTCTGGCTGGCCCAGAGGAAGCTCAGGGATCGGGGACCTATGGGAGCCCCCAGCTCATCTGGCTTCAGACAGCAGCCAGGGAGCTATGATGAGAGATAAATGTCCTTCCCTCACAGGCACCCAGGGACGGGACAGCATGAGGCTCCCTTCCCAGGGAAGGGACAGCATGAGGCTCAGAAGAAAGTGGTTGTCACCACCTAGCGGGAAGCTCCTCTGTGAGGTCAAAACCACTGCCTGAGAGTTTCTGTGGTTATTTGTACGGTGCAGTGGACAAAGGAATGCACTGCCTACTGCCAGGCTAGTCTGGGAAGGACTCAGGAGCAAGAGAGCCTTCCCTATCTATGACAGGAAGTGCTTCTCAAAAGGAAAGCTTCCAGAGGCCACCAACAGAAGTCTTCTGTCTCCAAAAGGGACACCTCTGAACTCATGTAGCCCATCTCTCATTACTTGGGCTGTCGCCTATCTGCGGGATCCATGTGAACTGAGCTGGAACAGCCAACTGGCTCCCATCTCTGTAGAGCGTAAACCGAAAGGTTCCTAAAGCCCTATCCCACCCTCCAGGGGATTCATCCGGTCATCAGGCAAATAATTATAAAATTAAACCCCTGTCAAATCAAACCAGCATGTTTAATGCACCAGCAAATCAGACTCACAAATCCACCTGCTCAATGGGCATGAACCCAGAGCATCTCAAACCATACATACCCCGTAGAAGGCACCATTCCCTGGTCCTGACTCCCGCAGATGGCCTTTGCCGCTGCACTTGGGACTTGAGTGTTCCCTGTTCCACTGGGGCCCATTATGGTAAGTTAGTGTGAGGAGCGCTGGGGTAGGCCTTCCTCAGGGGAGACCTCTGACCCCCAGATAAGGTCTAGGTCTTCTAGAATACGCGCTTTTAGCAGTTTACAATTCTACACTCTTTGTGCACCTGTGACAGGTAGCACCCTGCAAAGCGGAGTGGATGTGCACACACTTCGGAGCAGGGCCTCAGCTCACCATCCCTGGTCCTCTGCTGACCAAAGCCAAACAGATTTAAAGGACAGAACATAGTGTGGAATTTCCCTGTGTGTCTTAGTTATTTTCTCATTGCTAAGACCCAGTAGCCGACATCCACAGCTTCCAGAGGGCAAGGTTTATTTAGCTCACAGTTTGTGGAGATTTCAGTCCCTAGTCAGCTGGCTCCCATGCAGGGCAGCGTGGCAGAGGGGCCTCGCAAAGGAGACTTGCTCAAGGCCTGGCAGACAGGAAGTAGCCAGAGAAATCCAGGGAGGTGGGGGGGGGGGAGACAGACCCTTCCAGGCTTCCCCTGCCAACATCACATTTAGCTATAAACTCATCAATGCACTGATGAGGATCTCACCCCCATGATCCAATCAGCTCTCAAAAGCCCCATTATGAGCTCATGAGGCTTTGCGGGGACACCCAGAGGTAGAGATATAAACCGCAGCAGTGTGATTTCCATCACCTTGACTGTCCTGCTTGGACAGTGGAGAGCAGGCAGTACCCCGAAGGCGCGGAGGGCACTGTGACAGCAGCTCCGCTCCGAGGTCAGGTTCCCAGCGGGCCTCCCAGTGCACTCTCTCTCCTCACTCGCTGTGGACCAGGACTGACAGTTAAGCAGGTCCTGCCTATCTGCCCTGAGCCCCCTTCTGCTGGACTCACGATGCACCAGGATACAGTTCCTGGTTTCTCCCATTGGATCCCTTCCCTTGTTTGATCTCAGGTGAGTGCATAGCATTTTGAATTTCTGTAAAGGTTTCAAGCTTGGCACACGAAGAACGTAACTTTGGTTACAAAGCAAAAACAAGTCTTCAGTCTTTCCACTGGAACTCTCTTTACTGGGCATGATCCCAGTAGCTGTTTGCAGGGGTGGCGGCATCTACTCTTCTGTTTCTTCTGCGTTTGGAGCCCTGAGATGCAGGGGATTCCTTCTGTCTTTATTCTGCCAGTGCTATCTCCGTGCTGTCACTATGAACTTTGTCTCCTGTTCAGCTTCCTGTGGTAACAGGTATTGGGACTCTTAAGTAAACCTAACTGACATCTCAGAGAGACCCCAGGCTGGGCATCAACCTGCCTTTAGTCAACCCGCAACTCACTGCCACCAGGAGTTCACAAGGAGCTACTGTATTCCACAAAGGGGCTTTTTAGAAAACAGTCCTGAGAGCAAAGAGGGATATTGGTCAGCATCCTCAGCTCTGAAAACAGTCCAGGCCGGGCGTGGTGGTGCACGCCTGTCATCCTAGCACTCGGGAGGCTGAGGCAAGAGGATCGTTGTGAATTCGCAGCCAGCCTGGGCTACAAAGTGAGCTCAAGTCCAGCCTGAACTGCATAGCGAGACACTGTCTCAAAAAGACAAAAAGAAAAAAAAACAAACGAAAAGAAAGAAAGAGAAAACAGTCAAGAAAAATAGACACTGCAGATATCCTCCCAGAACAGTGGCTCTTGCCTACAAGGAAGATCAAGGAAAGTTCTCTACATAGTGCTGCTTTAAAACACACCTCCTCCCTGTTCTACCTGAGGTGGTAAATGCATTGCCAGAAGCTCAGGGAATAAGCAAAAATAATCCTTTCCCTGGTGAATATATGTGAATGTGTATGTGTGTGAGTGTGGTAGTTCCCTCTCTGGTGCCGTGATGAGATGCCCGAGAAAGTTCATTTAAAAGGGGAAAAGATGAATTTGGGCTCATAGCTTCAGAGGTCTCTTTCCACAACTGTTTGGCCACGTGACTTTGGGGCTGTAAGCAGCATAGTACTATGTAGGACGGCAGAGAAGCAGCACAGCAGAGGCTGCTCACCTCATGGTGGCTTGCAAAAAAAAGATGGGGACACAGACTGGCATCCCAGAGTCCTTTCCAAGGGCCCCCGGTCAGTGCCACAGCCTGGCAACTAAGCTCTTAGCATGGGCTTTTGGAAGACATTTCAGACCCAAATTATACCAGTCAGTGTGTGTGTGTGCCTTTGTGCCTTGCTATTTGCTTTGGTTACTTTTCTCTTGTTGCTGAGACAAAATACCTGATGGACAGAATTAAGAAAGGAAAGGTTTATTTAGCTCAGTCTGTGGAGAGCTCAGTCCATACTCAGCTGGCTCCAAGGCAGAGTGGCACATGGCAGAGGGCAACAATTCATGGCAGCAGAACAGCAAAGCAAACAAGAACAAAAGGGAGGAGTGGCAGAGCAGAGCAAGCCTCTTTCCCTCCCTTACACTGTAAGCAGGCCACCCCCACCCAGGGGCCAGCACTCACATAATCTCCATGCCCTCCTCTTGCACAAGCTCAGGATGAATACAAAGTAAGTACCCTGGCTCCCTGCTGAGTCACACAGTTAACCTTCTAAACTTCTCAAATTGACACAATGAACAGCATCCCAGAAGGGTAAGGGCGTGTCCTGTATACCCCAAGATGCAGAACTGCTGAGTCACTTAGCCAAACCTCTAGACTCTCCAAGTTGACACAGCGTATCACCTATGACTCTGTTCTCCCATCCTCAAATGCTTGCTCCCAATCTTCCCCAAAGTTCACAGCATTACTTCAGTTTTGCACCCTCAATTATACTTTTTTCCCATAGCATTGGCTACTGTTCCAAGTTTTATTCATATATATATATATATGACTATGAATATATATGAACATAAATTCATATATATGTGAATTTATATTTACTTATTGTCTTTTTACTCTACTAGGACACATGCATGAAGAAGAGGTGGGTTTTGTCCCAACGTTCACTGCTGCATTGCTGAGACCTGGGATGAATGAGGCCTGGCACATACGAAGTGCTCAGTAAATCTGTGTTGAATGGATGAGTAATTGTGTGGAGTGTATATCTGTTGGGGGGAGAATGAGATCATGTGTGTTTCCCTGTGTGTTTGTGCTCGTGCAATATTCTCAGTGTCTGAAACCCTGGGTATTCTGGGTATGGCCTTTCTTGGACCTGAACGTGCTCCCCCTAAAGCAGTGGTCACCAACTTTTTTAGAATCAGGGACCAGTTTTTGCAGTGGACAATTTTTCTTTGGGTGAGAAGTCATTCAAAGGATCAAGGGCTGGGAATTTAGCTCAGTGGCACTGCGCCTGCCTGGCAAGTGCAAGGTCGTGAGTTCGGTTCCCGGTACCGGAAAAAAAAACAAAAACAACAAAAAAAAAAGGATCATGAGCCTTAGCTCCCTCGCATGTGCAGTTCTCAGTAAGATTTGACCTCCTGTGGGTCTCTAACCACTGATCTGATACAGACCCAGCGGAGCTCATGCAGTGCTATGAACACTGCGGAGCTACTGCTGGAGACAAATGAAGCGCTGCTCCCCAGCCCTCTGCCCACCTCCTGCTGTGTGGTCTGGTTCCTAACAGGCCATGGACTGGTCTAGGGTTGGGGACCCTGCCCTAAAGGACAGCTGCCCATTTACTTCTCACCGATGACGCTGATTGTGCCTTTTCTTCTCAGGAGGGAACATAGCTACTCCGGCTGAATCCATGATCAGTACTGTTTGGATTAACAAGGAGAGAAGGAGCTCACTGTCCCAGGAGGAGGCAGCTTCTGGGGAGGCGAGAATGCTGGAAGAAGCCGACAGAAGCTGTCTGCAGGCTGCTGAGTCCCCATGGCACACACACCTGGAGATGCACCGCTCGGTCCAAACTTTTCACCAGGAAAATATTCATCCAGTGAAGCCACAGGGCCAGTTTGTGAGGTCTGACACAAGGCTCCCTCCAGAAGAAGATCAACACGCCTTTGACAACAATCAGAAGACTCAGCGAGGAATCAAAATCCCAGAGGCAGCCCAGCCTCAGTGTCAGGCGGGCAGCACCAAAACAAAAGCAGAAGAAGCCGGCCTAAAGACCAGCATTCCGTGTCCATCTTCCATAAAGCACCCACACAGGGCCGCCAAACCCGCTCACTATCCATTTCCACAAAGGAAAACTCCCAAGATCTCTCAAGCTGCCCGGAACCTGGGCTTATACGGTCCAGTATGAAGCTTTCTTTACAGCGGAAGCCTCAGGCTTGCGCTACCTATGAAGTCACCGAACTAAAAAGACACCTACAATTAGAACCTTGGGCTGTGAGTGAGAACTGGACTCACCCCTGTAAGATTTATGGGAAGGGAATTTCACGGTGGAAACATAATCTTGTCTTTCAAAGATCAAGAGGTGTTCCAGGTCAGACTGTCCACCATTTAGGATGCAGCAGTGCTATCTAACCAGTGCAGCACCATCCTGCTTGCATAAGAAGATGTTGCCATGGAGCCCAGGACGTCTATTCCCTGGGGAGGCGGAGTCCTTCAGGACATCTGCTTCCTTCCTGAAGGTGGAGAAATTTGAACCACAAGGCAGGAACTTTAGCCAGTGGAATGCCTGAGCAATGCCCAGAGGTCAATGGACACTGGCAAACTCATATTCAATAGTTTCTGATTCCCCAGATATTCTGGAGAAGATGAGCTCTGAGATTTCAGAAAACCTTTTCTGGCTGCTATGTTTGTGGGTTGGGGGGTGGGCATCTCACTTAGAAGTTACCTGCATTCACTAGGAGTAGAAATTACCACATTCGGCAGAAGTCACTGCAGTCATTCACTTCCTCTTGAGCCTGTCTTGGGTAAAGGCAGTCAAGCCAGTGACACCTACTGTTTGGAGTGTTGAAGGAGTCCTTAGAAAAGGATGGCGTCTGACAACTGTGACTGCACATTCCAGCCGCACCACAGGTTTACTTTCTTCCTCCCACTCTTTCTTCTCTCTACAAACGAATGTCATATTGAAAACTGCCAATTATTGAAGATATATAGGAATGGGAGGCTGTGTGAAAAAATACACACACACACATGCACACACACACACACACATGCACACACACATGCGCACGCACACACACACACACACACACATGCACACAGGATACTCCTCTTTGGAAAGCATGTGCACACTGCCCCCTTTTCAGCCTAACTTGGATCACTTATGTCCTCCGTAGGATAAACGTGTGTTTTGAAACCTAAGAACAGAATGAAGCAGGTGTTACCTGGGTGACCAGGAAAAAGCAGGCCTTTCCTGATTAATGTTTAACTTTATTAATGACCTTGAAATACACGAAGGTGCCTTTTCCTCATGGCGGATTCTCTCTCTATGCACCTGCTCATCCAGAAATTCACACCAGTTTGGGGATTCAGTGAAATTCCTTTCATGAAAATGAATAAGGTATACTGGTTGTTTTTTATAGTCCAATGAAAATCAAGGAAATGCTCTGCAAAACTTTGTCCTTTGCTTTTGTTTTAAAGAGGATTCCCACAAGTAACTGCTCTCATTTTTCTTTTTTGTTGTTGTTGTTCTTTCTGTTTTTTGTCTTTTTGAGGCAGGCCTTGCAGTTCAGGCTGGCCTTGAGTTCACTTCATAGCCTGGCTGGTCTCGAACTTATAAGGATTCTCCTGCCTCAGCCTTCTGAGTGCTGGGATTACAGGTGTGTGCCACCATGCCTGGCAAGCAACTGTTTCTTTGTTTTGCTTTGTTTTATTTTTTTGGTACCAGGAATCAAACTCAGGACCTTGCGCTTGCCAGGCAGGCGCTTATGCCACTGAGCTATATCCCCAGACCAAACAACTGTTCTTGTACAGTGCTTTGAGTTGTTTTCTCCTCATTGTTGCAAAGACTGTTTCCGGTGTGGTAGCATCTGAGAGCACCTCTATCCAGCTTACAGGGTGTCTTAGTTATTTTTCTCTTGTTGTTGAGACAAAATACCTGACACCCAAAGTTAAAAGATGGAAAAGTTTATTTTATTTTATTTTATTGGTATCAGGAATTGAACTCAGGACCTCATGCTTGCCAGGCAGGCAAGCATTGTGGGGAAAGTTTATTTAGCTCACAGTTTGTAGAGGGTTCAGGGCTGGGAATATAGCTCAGTGGCATAAGCACCTGCCTGGCAAGCACAGGTCCTGAGTTCAATTGTCGGTACCAAAAAAAAAAAAAAAAAAAAA